GAATCATTTGGAAGATAGAAGGGACTCTTCCCTCTGAGAGGCTGAGTGGGACCCTCACTAGTTCACCTCCTGTGTCTTAGCCAGAGAGAACAAGCAAGCTTGGGATCTGTAGGATTTATGGGCCTCATTCCTGGCCAAGGTCACGAAGTTCGTGCTGAGTATACTACCTTGGCTTCGGCCACCTGAGAGCAAGCCAGAGAGGCTCTGAACCGCTCCACGAGATCTATTGCCGCCATAACTCTCGGCACTTCCCTGCAGCTTCTTTTCTAGTTCTGGCCAGAAAACCGGAATTATGAGAGTTTGTATCCTACACCCCAGTCCCACAGGCATGAATCTTCATGTGCTTTTTGAAAACCTGGGTTATGGGCTTCTCCTGCCTGTGAGACGAATTCCTGTTAGCAGCCCCATTATTCCTCATGGGGGAAGCTGAGCCCCAGCTATCTGAATCTCAGACAGATGCTGAGAATTCTGCTTACGCTCTTCACCCTTAAATATCTCCAGCTCGTCACATGCACTGTGAATCCCATCGTGTCTTGAATGAAGCCTTTCTCATGTAATTGGATCCGTTTCCTAAGCCAATTTTAATTGCTTCAAGAAACTGCTTAACATTGTAGATCAGTCCGCAAGCCCATGATGACATTCCCCTTGCAAAATTAATTATTAATATCCTGATCATTTGTGTAAGACATTAATAGTCTCATTGATCAGCACATCCTGTCTATCCGAACCAGCCCAGTCGCTGTTCACGTCAGAGGAGAAGCTGAACACAGGCAATTAGAGGCTCAGCCCGCTGTTAGCTACCTCAGCAGATCAGAAATTAAGGAGCCTTTTGTCTCCACAACATATTAAGTCCAGCTTTCTCAGAAACTGAGCTCTTTAAGGGCACAAAAGAAAGGCCAGTCTCTAATGATAGGTCCTCATTTTCTATCAGCTTTCTGGTAAACAGAAAGGCTTCTCAATTACCCCGTGCTGTAAATGAATGTGGAGAGCCCCTAAATAACTCAACTGTGTTGTCAGGTATTGCTGATGGCAATTTCTTTTTGAATGAGAGTGAAAAGGGGCTACTCATTAAGTACTCACTAACTTTAAAATAATTGGGGTGTAGTGACAGTGCTTGCCATTTGGATGGTACTTCCTAGTTTTCAAAGTGTTTACGTTTACTTATTCAGGAAGTTTCCTTAAAACCACCTTTAGAGAGTGGCAGGTTAGTGTAACTGAGCCAGAACCACAGAGAGTGTTATCTCTGAATTGCTGAGTTCAGTACATCTCTCACTTAACTGCACTAACCGAGGGCTCGGCCAATCCCCGCTCATCTTTGTAGCTGCCTTGGGAGCTCAGGCTGGGCTCCGGTCCCCCAGATGGGAGGGCTGCTTCCTGTTGTAGGACTGTATCCCTCTGCAGTGGTGTGGCATTATGGGAACTGCCCCTGCTAGAACAGGCTAGAACATGAGATCCTGGCAGACGGAGCTGACAGCTTTCTCACTGACTGACCTAGTGCCACCCCAAGAGGCTGGAGGCAGAAGGTGCTGCTGACCTATCCTGTGTGGCTGGGGTGGACACCCAGTGGCGGAAGGAATCGTGGATGAGAAGAACACAGGTCCCTGTGTGACTAAAGTGTTGCTGCAAACCTGAGGGGACAAAGTGTTGCTGAGACACGTGAGGGGACTGAGCTCAGGTTTATAAAGCATTTCAGCTGATTTCCAACACCGGACACTGTAAACTTTCAGGATTTCCAGGATACAACACATAATCATTTTAATTTCTCTTTACAGCGTTTCCGTTCTCTTGCAGCACTGGGTTGGTGGATCTGCATGACAGTTGTCAGCCTCTGTGTGTGCCTGTCAAATAGTTTGGTCCTCCTGGGCCAGGCCTGCAGTAGCCTCTCATATGGGGCTACTGCTCTGCAGTTTCTGGGCAGAGAATGGGTGTTTGCTCCCTCACAGAATTCCCCTGCGTTAAGAGTCCTGAATAGGTATGGTATAAGTAGGCTGACAAAAACAGCCAGAAATGCACAACCAGGAAAGAATAACATTGATGAGGAGAACCTTCTAAAGATTAAGTCCCTGTGTGCATCAAAAACTTCTTACAATAGACTGAAAAAGATAACTTCCTGACCAGGAAAAAACATTTAGCGATGACATTTCAGAAAAGGGTCTCATAACGCAAGTTTACAGAATTTTACAGGACCTCCACAAGAACAAGACTGGTAACCCAAATACAAATGGGCAAAAGACATAGAGAGATTTTTTACAGAGGAAAACATTTGAATGACCAACAGACATGAAGAAATGCTCAAAATCACTGGCAGTAAGAACTTCACATTAAAACCATAATGAGATACCATCTCAATTCAGTAGCAGTGAAAATGTTTAGTAGGATAGCAAGCAGTAAATGGTGGAGAGGATGTGGAGAGTTGGAACACTCATGCACTTGTTGGTGAGATTGTAAAATGGTGCAACCACTCTGGAAGGAAGTTTTGTATCCTCAAAAAGCTGAATGTAGGAATTCCATATTCCGTTGCTAGGAATATTCTATGAGGAAAATAAAACTGAAACACAAATGGAGATTTATATACCAGTGTTTATTGCAGCATCATTCACAATAGTAAGGAAATGGAAACAGTCCAAATGCCCATCAACAAATGAATGGATTAAAAAATTATGGTACATTCTTGGTACCAGTAGCCAGGAAGTAAAAAGACAAATTGCATTTGGAAAATCTTCTGTCAGGGACCTCTCCAGAGTATTGAGGAGCAACAGTGTCAGTCTAGAGACTGAGGTGCACCTGATCCAGGCCATGGTCTTTGCAGTTACTTGCTATGCATCAGAGAGCTGGACAATGACTAGGGATGATAAAACTAGACCTGATGCCTTTGAGCTTTGATGCTGGAGAAGAGTATTGGATATACCATGGACTATAAACAGGTTCGTTCTGGAGACAGTGAAACCAGGCTGCTTCTTGGAGGCAAGAATTCTAAAGCTCCATCTGATATACTTTGGGCATGTTGCAAGGAGGAACCAGTCCTTGGAGAGGGGTGTCAAACTGGGAAGTGTGGAGGGAGAGCACAAGAGAGGAAGACCCTTGATGAGATGAATTAACTCAGTGGTTGGGGTAATAGGAGTAGGTGTGTCAGAGATAATAAGGTTGGTTCAGGATAGAGCAGGGTTTAGGGCTGTTGTACATAGGGTCACTATGAGTTGCAGGTGACTTGACAGCACATAACAATAATACCAAGAACCCAATTAAAAGACATTGATTTCTCTTCCTTGTTAGAATCATTGTCCAATGTTCAGATGCATGGGAAGCAAATGAAATACCAAAGCTTGGATTGGCCAGACTTTAGTTTTTAAACTGACATCTTTGATCTTGAGAACTGGAGAAATGTCCTTAACAACTAATTTTCCCAATCAATACATCTGTTGACATCTTAACTGCTACTGCCAGTGGTGTTGATTTTAGACTCAAGTAAAATGAAATCATTGACAATTTTAACCTTTTCTCCATCTGCAATGATGATGTTTATTGGTCCAGTGGTGAGAATTTTTGGTTTTTTTTATGTTGAGATATAATTCATATTGAGGGCTGTAGTCTTTGATTTTCTGCAATAAATGCTTGAAGTCTTAAAAAAATTTGTGGTACATTTACATAACAGAGTGATTAAAAAAATACTGTCTGTCATGAGAGAGGCCAGAGAGCATTATGCTGAGCAAATTCATCAGGACAGGTACTTATTTCTGTCTCACAGGGACAAATACTGCATTGTACCTTTACTGTAAAAAAAACTGGGACAAGGAGAGCGGGCAGGGAGGCTGAGGGTGGAGAGGGGAGAAAGTGTGGGGTCAAAGAATGTGGTTCGTGGAGGGAGGGGGTGAAAGAACTAGGAAAGATCCCGTGAGGACCAGAAAAGACAGGGTGATAGTAGACATAGGTCAATGGTGATTAATTTTATAAAACACAATTTTTGAGAATGATTTATGAAGCAAAATGTGAATGAAGGAATGTGTGAAACACCAGATATGCAAATTTTGTATGCAATAGAAATATTTTTAAAAAATAAACAAGAGAAAGAGAGTCCTGGCTAGGGGAAAAATCCCTCTTAATCCTGCCCTACATTGATCCAAATGAACATAATAGACAACTTTTTCTAGTTGGTGAGATTTCTACACACTTGTATGGCACTTGTGAAATGAGACCTAGAACATGGAGAGAAATCATATTTAACTCTAGTCATTGCTGTCGAGTCAGAGCCAGTTACTCTCTTGGGTTCCCAAGGCTGACTGCTCTTCCTTCCTTCTCCAGTGGAGGCGCTGCTGGATTTGAACCACCAGAGTTGGCACCTCTGAGACAACACCACCAGAGCTTCCAGAGGGGAAAGTAGATATCTGAATTCATGAGATGTTGCACGTTTCATCTCAGAACACAGAGACTCACTGCTCAGTTCCTGCTCAGTGCCCCTCCATGGAGTCTCCAAGGATGTACAGTGTAATGAGGGGAGGCAGCTGCTTGGTTCTTGGTTCTGTGGGGAGCCCACAGGGGACTGGACTGCCAGACTTGGGGTTCACAGAGCAACTCACTGTGGGCTGCACTGCAATAAATGGGGGATTTCTACTCACATCTCTGCAATGTTTTTCCATCCTACGGTGTTTCTCCCATAGTGACTTTGAGGGATGTTCCATTAATTGGAATATAAATTAGAACAGGCACTGAAGTCTGAGGGGCTGTGCGGGACCCTGGGAGGCAGTGCCCATTGTGCTACATCTGGTATGAGTCACTTGTTAGTGGACACGATACTTCTCTCCACTCAGTAGCCACGTGGATGCTCCCATCCCTCTCCCATGTATTCTGTGGAAAATATGAGCTGGAAGCTTATTTGCTGTGTTCGTCGTTTAACATGCTCTCTTCTCCTTCCACAGTACTTTCCTGTGAATGAACTTTATTTATATTCAAATAGAGATGAATTTGCAGAGACCACAGGAGAAGTAGTCCCAAGTCTCATTGTAATGTCTCTTCTTTCCTACAGGTTAAAGGTTGTACAAAACCGAAAAGAAGCATCAATTCTATTCACTTGTTATTGGACTTGAATCTCCTTTGACCTTGGAAACCGAAGATGCGGTTGCCATGGGAACTGCTGGTACTGCAGTCGTTCATGTTGTGCCTGGCAGGTAGAGTGTCGTTTTAAAACTTTTTGAATTAAAAATGCCACTGTATTTCACACTAATTCAGAAGTGGGCCTTCACTTTTGATGGCAGTGATGAAATCCTAAGAGGGTATATTATCTGTCGGTGACAGCATTTGCTGACACTGGTGAACACTTGTGCCTGACGGTCTTTCAATGGCTCTTTTGACGGTGGTGAAGGCAGGGCTGTCACAGGCACATCCCTTGTCGGTCTGATTCTTTTAGAGTCATTTAAGCCATTATTTAGTTTGAAAGTTGTTATTTTTGCTCATCCCTGTGCCCACCTTCGCAGACATATGGGGCAATAAAGCTGGGAGCTGGACAATCCTTGTTTGATGTCAGTGCATGAGACTTTGTCCGGGAAACTCTGTCGCTCTCTCTGTTGACATCTCGCCATCCTTTGCTACTGACTCCTTTTCATTTCAGTGCACCGATAGTAGAAGCAGAAGATAGGAGGGTTTTAGTACTACAGAAATGTTTGTAAAAGTTCACAGTGTGTTGTTTATTACTACTTCCGTTCTTAGAAAAATGTGAGCCTAGCAGTCAACATGCATAATTCAAGTGTTCATTATACATGTTAGACCCAGCATGCAGTGGGAGTTGGTCTCCATGTTTATTTGTTGGGTGTCTCTGTGGGTCTTTTGAGCTAAGTCTAGCTGACTTGCTTTTTGGTCTTTTATAATCTACAGCTTTACATCTCAGAGGAGAGTAACTTAATACACCAATAATCTCTAGTTAACATAATACAAGAAACCAGTTCCTGAATGGAACTATGACCATAGTTTTAGGGATTGAACTTTACAAGTCATTTTTTAGGGGATGTGATTCAATTCTTTTTATTGAGATTTTAATGAAAGCTTACAGAAAAGTTCAATTTTTATTCATTCATTGTTGCACATTTTCCTCCCTACCGGCCAGTTCATATTTTCTTTCTTAAATTCATTTGTTGTTGCATAATTTCCTCTCTCCCTCTTCTCCCAGTCCGCTTTGCTATGCACCTCTTATTCTGGACTATTGTCATGCAAATAATGTTTAATCATATAGTCCTTTTAAGCAGTTCTTTCCTTTGTCTGTTCCAATGCAGTATTCTTTGGTTTTCCCCTTTTAGTTTCCCTCAACCTTCATGTCTGTCCTGTTCTATAACAGTGGTGTTATGCAGTGTTTATCCATTAGTGCCTGCGATATTTCATTCAGCATAATGTCCTCCAGAATCACCCATGTTGTGTAATATTTTATGAGTTCCTTGTTTTTCACTGTTGTGTGGTATTCCATTGTGTGGATATACCGTGCTTTTTCTATCCATTCATTTGTTGATAGGCACTTGGATTGCCTTCATCTCTTCACTATTGTGAATAATGCATCAGTCAACATGGATGTGCACAGATCTGTTTGGGTGGCAGTTCTAGTTTCTTTAGGGTATATTCATAGTAGTGGAATTCCTGGGTCAAATGGATGGTATTTCTGTTTCTAACTTTTTGAGAAAGCGCGATAACCTCCTGTACCGGATGGTTTTACTTGTGAATTTTATCAAACATTCAGAGAAGAGCTGTCCCTAATTCTACCTAAAGTATTTCAGAAAGCAGAAAAAGATGGAATTCTCCTAGACTCATTCTATAAAGCAAACATATCCTTGATACAAAAGTCAGGTAAAGACACCACCAAAATAGAAAAATATATGCCAATATCTCTCATGAACATAGATTGAAACAATGCTGAATAAAATCCTGGCCAACAGAATCCAACAATACATAAAAAAATGAGTCACCATGACCAAGTGGGTTTCATAACAGGCATGCAAGGATGGTTCAGCATAAGAAAATCACTTTTTAACACAGACTGACTAGTTGTCATACTCCTCTGTAGGTATGACCATCTATCATCATACTACTTAGTCTTTTAGCTGTTCTGTCCACTGGCAAGGCCAGTGTTAGTAATTCAGACATACCCAGGCAGTGAACACCACCACCACACACACACACACACACACACACACACACACAGACTCCGATTCCACCAGCTGCTGGAGGGTCAGCTATAGGTCAGTTCGGACTCAGTGGTACACAACAATATATTATGTGTGTGTGTGTGTTTGTATACACACATATGTATATACTTTATTTTTTGTTTTATTGTTACATGAAAGTTTACATTACAGAGCAAGCTGATTTTCTGTTCTACTATTCCTACACATTTTGTCTGGTGATGTTGATGATGATATCTACACTCTTCCCACCCTCTTGCTGTGACTCTAGTTTCCATGCATCCTTCTAGCCTTCCCTTTCCTGCCTTTTTCTGCTTTTTCCTCAGCACATGGTACCCTTTTGCTCTTACCTGGTGGATTGTTGTTAGGAGTGCCTCCCGGTGGTATTAATCGCCTCAAAGCCCCATCGATTGTTTTCCTCGAAGTTGAATCACAGGAATGAGTTTGTAAGTTTATTCTTGAAAATTGTGTTTCATTCCTGCTGAATTCTATATGTATACCCTCCATAGTTTATGATTTCTGTACTATCCCATCTTAAAAATCAAACATCTTGCCCTCGTATAGTTCTCAGTGCCTTCACCATTCCCCAGTGGGCCTGTTAGCGTCTCATGGTCTCTGAAAGATGCTGCAGCTGATGGTCCCCGTCATCTGCTCTGAATGGCAGCCTTTCTGTCCACAGTGTACCCCAGAGGCTGTGGCCTCCGTTGCTTTCTTTCATCTGTTCATGCCCCTTGCTCATCCGGAAGGGACTGAATCACAGCTCCCTTTCTGTAACTTCTGATAATGACTTTGAAGTAATCGTGGTCCGTAGGTGATAAGAAGGCAGATGCGTGGCTCAGAATTCTACCACGGTCTTGGGCTTATTTGCTCTCAGTAAGTGGAGCAGATGTCAAAAAGTTACAGGGCTGAAAATCAAAGAATCCATCCGTCTGACTGGTTTGGTTTTCGGAAGTCAGGGATACTCATCTGATTTGTATACCTGCATCTATTTTTCATGTCATTAATATTCCATTTCCACATGCCTCCTTCATGCAGGTATTGTCAAGTTTTAATGAATGTTTTTGTTTTCTTGCTATTTGTCTTGATTTCATTAATGTACAAAGTATCTTCTGCTCTGAATTTTGAACATATTTATTTTATTTGTTCACTTTCTCTCTTTGGCCTGTCTTCTATAATTTTCATCTACTTCCTTAGTCTTAGATTTTTAGTTGATTATTTTATAAGGAAAATGTTTCTGTATATAATTTTCAACATAAAGAGTAAACCTTGAATTTGACTTGTCTTGATGATTTCTTTCCACAAATAAGGTAGAAGAGTAGAAGATTCCAGTGTATAAGCAACCTGACCCTTCAAGTGTTGCATCTGATACAAATGCTAATTATTAGAGAGCATTGATGACAACCTTCTGGTAAAATGGAAATGTTACTCCATTTTGCCAAATGCTAGACTAGCCATAGGGAATAATTTTCTAAAACAGACTACTGTTGTTATTGGTCTGGAAATTCAGTCTCTACAAAATGGGCTTTCTTCTTCTTCTTCTTAACCAATGGACAGCAGGCTTCATGAAGCTCTGCTTGCCACAGGAGCAGGGCTGACAGCAGATGGGTGGAGCGTTCTCAGCTGCGGAAGTGAGCTCTCTAGTGTACGGGGAATTCTGGCGACTCTTTGCCTCTGCGCTTGTGGTCTAATGTGGGAGAAGTTGCTCTGCCAATGCACAGGCAGGTGGTCTGACGCTCCCAGCAGCTCTGCGGGAGAAAGATGAGCAGTCTGCTCCGGTGTGCTTTCAGAGCCTCTAGAAAGGCACCAGAGGGTCAGCCATGAATTGATTGCAACTCAAAAGCAATGGTTTGGGTGGGTTGTTGTTGTTTGAGGGTGTGTGTGTGTGTGTGTGTGTGTGTGTGTGTGTGTGTGTGTTTAAGTTCAACTGTTTTGCTGCTAACCCAGAATTGGTACCTCTCTGGTTTCAATGCATCAGTGTCTCCACAGGAGAAAAATAGACCATCTCCTCCAGTGTGATTTACAGCCTCCCAAATAAAACCTGCTGGCGAGGCAGCTATGAGTCTGTTCCAAATTGATGGCAGTAAGTTGAGTTAGGTTGGACTGAGTTATCAACCAATTATTAACTGTAGTCCTGGATCACCTATACTTATGTCTGATTTTGGAAGGGTTATTTGGTTGGAGTTTTTTTTTTCTGGGTTTCCTCCCCAATTTTTTAATGCAGAAATCTCTTTAACTGTTAGCCTTGTAAACTTATACAAAAAAGAAAAGTAAACCAGTGAGAGAGACTGAAATGGCCCAGACCCTCGATGCAGTTTTGAGTTCCCCAGGAGGCATGCAGGTGCAGTGTGAAATACAGGCCTTTGCTTTGATGTCACCCACAGTGCTGCCTACACTTTGATCTCGGGTCTTTGTAATAACTGTCCCTTGTACAGAGACTGGTCTTACCCAAAAGCTGCCATTATGCACCATTTCACCTTCTTTGCCAAAACCGGTGAGGATTTCGGACAAAAAATTCAAAAATAATATTCTTTCCTAGCAATAGTCATTGCCTTCCCCCCTGCCTAATTCTTGTCCCACAAGCTTTAATGTATGAGAAACACTGTATTTGATACTGTCGCTCTCTACTGTCTATGAGTTCTATGCGGTCAAACATTTCTGTCTTATTAGCGTCAGCCTGGGACCATGTAAGCAAACAAACACATATTTATCGTGGTGGGTCTGCATGCCGCGTGCTGTCCAGACACGGGTGGGAGTGACAGCGTGCTCCGTGTTATCCCAGCTAACTCACCATGGACGAGGCTAATCGATACAGAAGTGTGCGGTTCGGTTGTGATTAGATTGGACCGTCTAAAGTTGTGAAGTCAGTGTATGTGTTGAGGACTCTATGAGAAGCTTTAGTGCAATTCTGCCTCTTATTCCTCACTTAAACAAGAACTGGAGTGGATTCTTTCCCCTCTGGATGGATGTTGGTGCTGCCAGGGAGGCTGTAGTCACATGTACACGTA